AGACTAAGCGCAGAGAAGAGAGTATAGGCGAGAGAGTGCAGCAGATGAGAGGGTGTCAGACAACAGCGTGATACAAGAACAAGATTGCAGCTGCTGAATCTCACTTTGCAAGGTACTATCGCCCTTGTACGGTGATTTCCAAGCACGGAAATGACATTCGGTGGTTGTTCTAGAGGGCCTATCCTACGACCGAAGAGAATCGCTCACACAACTGCCTGGGTTGTGCTTTTTTCCAAAGTTTGAAGGTGAATGTTTAAAGAGTTTTGAGCAGGCATTTCGAATTGGCCGACGGCCACGCTCGACCTTAGTGAAAACCCAGAGTTTAGATCGTATTAGGTCGTGGAAATGATGTCGATGCTGAAATAAAAGTGCAAACAGATTACAACGCCCTTTTTCAGTGGGTATGGCTTCTTCACGTGCATTCGAATTGCTGTGTATAGTCCTGCTTGGACTAGGTCAGATGTGTATCTTCACTGGATATGATACTCAGGTAATTGCTGAAATGACCACAAAGCCCGACTGAGGTGAATGACAAAGAGTTCTCAGAGAAATCTCCAAAAGCAGTGTTCGCGAAGGAAAATATCTCCGATACTTCATAGGAGTTGTGAGAGCCGATCTGAAGCACCTTATTCGAGACATTTTGTCTGGAATCGCGTTTAGGACTCACTTAAAGGCACGGGTCGCGATGGAATCGGACTGCTATTTTGTTGGAAAATTAGGGGAGAAGTACGAAGAGGAACGTTAGTGGGAAAAGCGGAAAACACCACAAAAACACTGGAACTTTTCTTGTGAGGTCGACCGTGGTACGACAGAGACACAGCGCTGCGAGGAGAGGGAAAACGCGAGAGAGCACGTCGTACGCGAGAGGGCGCAGACGCCACGTATGCTGCAATTGACAAGAATGGCAGCGGTCGCAGCGGTCAAGCGAAATTATTAGTTCCCTTGCGGCGCATTTCCAAGTCGCCATAGTACCGCCACCCTGCGACAAAAGGTCCTGTTAGCTTACCTAAGGAGAGAAATTCCTCTGAAGGTCTAACCGCGACCCATGCCTTTAAGTCAATTCTGTAAGTCCATCCCAATAATGAGCTTCTCCTTGAAAAGGTCAACTCTTACCATTAATGACCCTT